GAAAAAAATCTATGCCAGTCTTCGGCCCAACTTTTGAAGACCTCCTATGGCGGATAGGGCAGAAAAACAGACCAAGAGTCACAGAGTGCCACAGTGGGAAAGACACACGAACTCCTGGAACTCCTCGAAGGGCAGTCGGCAAGCGAGGCGTTGTAAGGAGACTGTATCACAGGGTGGAAATAAAAATATTGTCATCGCCGTGGAAATTTCCCACGTTGATTATGTAGTCTCGCCTTTCAATGACCACGAGGAAATTTGGAGACAGACAAAAATTACCAGTCTTGGGTATGATGCCGTCGTTGTTTTCGCCAAGGCGGAAGTAGAAATTTACCACTTTTCTTTGGTTAAATGTCATCACTGAACCAAAAGTGGCAGGATCATGAGAAAATTTTCCAGAAAAAAATTATGGAAATACTGTTGATGGTGGAAATGTGGTCATCAACACAGGCACATGACTATGACCATAATGAAGACTCTTATGATCGTCAAAAGAAGTTAGAAATGTTGCAAGCGTCAAACCGGTTTTCTCCAGGACCTCCTGGATGATTGGGCGTAGCGCGCTAAGTGTGACAAGGATACATTAGACATTAGCGCTGTTTCTTTACATAAAACAATAATAGATCAAGATAACTACTTGCTTGTTAGGTACACAGCATCAATACTGAGGAGCGCATGCATCATTGGAAGAACGGGTAATTTCATACCCATGAGTGTGATTACACATGGGTAGCACTGGGTATGGACACCGTCAAGCATGAGCAAACATTTTGATGGGTGCCAGACGAAGTAAGCATAAATTTGGGTAGGTTAGCACGGTTACCATGGGTAATACCAATGAAGCATCAAGGCTCAAAAGCTAAGCTTCTAACGGAAGACAATAAAAGAGGGGACGAGGAACTTGTGAAGATTCTCTGAAAGTTCAATATAAAAGCCAAAATGACACCCGAACTGCAAGTTAACCTACATCCGGTAAGAAGACTATGATTAGAAGCCTTTAAAGCCCAGTGGTCTGATGGGTGACCGAAAGGATCGGTAACCGCATATCCATGGCTATGGTAACAAATGGGTATCAGCTGGGTATTAACAAGGTCAAGCATGAGTAAACATGTTGATGATGCCAGGTAAAGGGTAAACTTGAGTGTGTCAGCACATTTACCATGGGTAAGCGCTTGGTCTCTACACATGCAGAGTATAGGTGAGGTCAGTGCATAGCTACCGAATGGGAGGTTTCCCGAAGGTGAAAGAGGAAAATTCGAGCGAAGTCCGGAAAATGGTTACTCAAACGGAGACGGTAAAATTCTAGCAAATGTAGAGGGCGAAATTATCCCATAGAAGGAAGAATATCACAGGTTTAGCAGCTAGGTTAGTTTCCCAGAAATAACCTCGATATTACAGAGGGTACCTAAAAAAAATCCGAGCAAAAATGCACCAAGGATGAACTAACTCATTTTTTGAAGGATTTGTTCAAAAAAGTGAGGTAAGATATTTACAATAGAACTGCAATATTGATCGACCTTTCGGGAAAAATGTCCTAAGACTGACGAGTAGCTAGAGCGGGAGCAATCTTTAGAAGAAATTTCTAGGGAAATCCACGGAAACCAAGCATTTGCAGAACAATCCGTCGAGCCGGATTCGAACCAGCGACCTAAGGATAGCTGCAACTCTACAGTCCTCCGCTCTACCAACTGAGCTATCGATGGCCTGGCATCGCGCCTTCGCCGCATTCCAACGCAGAATCTGTGTTTTTTTTCCACGGGAGAAAAGGGATTTCTCACAATGTGGGCACTTCAAACGCCCACGCGGGGACTTCTCGAGAAATTTCTCCGAAATTCCGCGAGAAACGAGCGTTTGCAAAACAATCCGTCGAGCCGGATTCGAACCAGCGACCTAAGGATAGCTGCGACTCTACAGTCCTCCGCTCTACCAACTGAGCTATCGACGGCCTGCCATCTCGCCTTCGCCGCATTCCAACGCAGAAATTGTGCTTTTTCCACGGAAGAAAAGGGGATTTCTCGCAATGCGGGCACTTCCCACGCCCACGCTGGGACTTCCGGAGAAATTTCTCGGAGATTTCGCGAGAAACGAGCATTTGCAAAACAATCCGTCGAGCCGGATTCGAACCAGCGACCTAAGGATAGCTGCGACTCTACAGTCCTCCGCTCTACCAACTGAGCTATCGACGGCCTGCCATCTCGCCTTCGCCGCATTCCAACGCAGAAATTGTGCTTTTTCCACGGAAGAAAAGGGGATTTCTCGCAATGCGGGCACTTCCCACGCCCACGCTGGGACTTCCGGAGAAATTTCTCGGAGATTTCGCGAGAAACGAGCATTTGCAAAACAATCCGTCGAGCCGGATTCGAACCAGCGACCTAAGGATAGCTGCGACTCTACAGTCCTCCGCTCTACCAACTGAGCTATCGACGGCCTGCCATCTCGCCTTCGCCGCATTCCAACGCAGAAATTGTGCTTTTTCCACGGAAGAAAAGGGGATTTCTCGCAATGCGGGCACTTCCCACGCCCACGCTGGGACTTCCGGAGAAATTTCTCGGAGATTTCGCGAGAAACGAGCATTTGCAAAACAATCCG